TTTCCATGACCATTCGCCTGTAAGGTTCACTCTCATCTTTCAGATCCTCAACAATTCTGCCAACAATATCTTTAACACCAACCTTGTTAGCAATCTCAACAGTCGTTTCTACAAGTTGCCTGTAATTTCTCCTATCCAACGCCATTCTTCTAACCCAGAAGTTCTTAAAGAACTCAGGTAGAATATCAGAACGTATGTATTCAGCTTCCACACCCTCTGTACTCACACATTGCTTAACCACCTTCAACACAATCTTCTTCATTTCTTCATCAGGTGATTGAAACTCACGTATCAGAATAAACATGACTTCCTTGGTGTAGTAATTGGCATACATAGCATCCATGAGAGGAATAATAAAACCAATTGCTTTCAAGAAGGCAGCCAAGACCTTGCCACGGTGTGACCTAATGCCCTTCCACAATGGCTTCAGAACAGAATCAAAGCTTTCAATGCCATATGGGGCAGCAGCCTCAGCAAGAGCAGCCAAGGACAAGGCAGTGATAGTCCTCACCTTCTGATTCTCATCATTCAGACCATGTTCTATGATTTCCACAAGAGACCTCAAATGGGGAAGAACAGCACAGCCAATCAAAATAGCAATCTGTTGAACAATTTTGATTCCAGTGTGGCGAGCTTGCCAAGATTTCTTACTCTGGCACACAGCTTTCAAGAAGGGCAACAGTGCAGGAATCCCGAGAGCAGAAGCAACAACACTGAAAGCTCTTGCAGTTGTGTTCCTAACATACTCATCAATATTATCAATATCAGGACGCATAGCAGCAATCATAGTGGCCAAACCAGCTGCTTTACTCAAATTAGAAATAATTTCTCTCCCCTCCACACGGGCATAATAATCCTCATCAATCAAGAGTGGTTCAATAACAACAAGAATCTTATGAACATAAGGCCTAACTAACTCATCCAATTTATACAAAACCCTATCAATCACCTTAACCAGAAGATGCCTTTCCTGATCCTCCAAGGTAGGCTGCATAAGCAGCGGTAAAATTCTGTTAAACAATGGCCCAGCGCCAAACTCTCTAGCCTTATCAGTCAATTGCCTTAAAGCAGTCTTCCTCTGTGGAGGTGTCCCATTTTTCACTTTAAGTAGCAGTTTCATAATCTTCCTCTCTTTCTGCTCCTCTGGGGACAACTCCTCCTCATCTTCCTCATTCAACAAAGCACCAAAATACTGATAATCCTCAGGTTTCATAAATGGCAACCCAGCAGGAGGCTCCTGCCCTAGATCAAACTGTTGCCCTCTGTTCTCATCAGGAATAGAATAAAGAGGAGTGCCCATTGGTGTTGGGGTAGCCAACAACTTCCTTGCTGGTGTCCTAATAGGCACATAAGAAGCTGGTGGCTCCAAAATCTTGTACCCTTCTTGAGGAAACATAGCATCCAACTCCTCATCAGTCAATGGCCTATTCCTCTCCTCAATATCCTTCTCCCACCTCAGCAGATTATACTGCTCAGGCGTTATTGCCCCGCGCATGGCAAGTGCATTCGGAGTTGGAGTAGCCATATCAATTGCACCAAGAGGAGTAGGTCCAGGAGTCGCACCACCTAGACTAGGAGTAACCCCCCCAAGAGCAGGAGTTGCACTCTCCATACTAGCTGGAGTCTCATCCCAACGAGACTTTTGCCTTTTTGGTGTAGGTGTAACCATTCCTTTGGGAGTAGAATCCCAAGTAACACCAGCAGGAGTCGCCCCTGGTGTAACCCCACCCGCAGGAGTGGCATCTGAATCAACCACTCTCCCCGGTGTAGGAGTCTCATCCCACCTATTCTTCCTCCCAGCAGCTGGCGTCGCATCCCCTATCCTCCCTGGAGTAGGTGTCGCATCCCACCTCCCAATCCCCGGTGTAGCATCAGGTAAATCCCAATCCGAACCCGTCTTCGCCTTTTTAGCTGCATTTCCACCATCCTCCGTCGATTGGTCCCACCTGTTCCTCCTCTTAGCCATCGAATTCGCCTCCTTTTCACCCTTGTCACCTTTCTCAGCCCTCGCTTCCTCTTCTTCCTTCTTCTTCTTGGCGATTTCCCTTAGAAGTTCCTCCTTTTGCCTTTTCAAAGACTCTTCCTTCATGATATCCGAATAAGTCCTCACACTGGGATCCGGCGTTTTCTCGCCGGCAGAAAAAGGATCGTGCCTCTCGGGCGAAATAATCCTATCCAATCTCCTCCTCCTGTAATCATCCTCACGATCAATAATCCTCGACGGCTTCCTAAACCCATTAGCCTCTTCACTATCATCACCGCCACGAGGCATTTCTTTAAGAACTGATTTCGGGGCAGTATAAGAAGCTAGTTTCTGAGCAACCTCGTTAAGACCCACGTCGGGTTCTTCATCATCGGTAGCTGGGATCGATGTTTCATAAGCATCACGGTCGACTCCACCATACAAGTCACGATCGAAGGTTAAAGAGGTTAAAGAGGCAAGTTGTTGTTCCATTTTCTTGCGCTCTTCTTGGGTTTTGGCGATTTCGGGGTCCATTTTGTTAGGGTTTTTGCTGAATTGAAATGGGTTTTTGTTTGATTGTTGGTTGTGGTGGTTTGTCAATTTGGGATCTTAGGGTTTCTGGTCAGTGGAGATATGATTCTTGAGTGAGAGGTTAGCTAGTGTGATTATATCTTTCGATGGGAACCGACTACCGAGTACAGAGCCAGAGGCCCAGAGGGGAAGAGAGATCAATGGCTGTGGGTTTGGATGTTTTGGGGGTTATGGCTTATTTATGAGCTGGGTTTGTTCGGCCACTAGATTAGGGTTTCGTGGGGCCTAGTGCGAAGATGATCAATTTTTCTGTTTTCTTTCTTGACCGTACCCTCTTGTTTATCAATTGATGCCAGCCTTCTCAAAGAAAAATATTCAATTAATTAAGAAAACTTTATCGTATCAAATGTTTGTTATTTTCAAAAAATAAAAAAATATGTGATACGATTTTATTTATGGAAAACATATATTTTTATTTATAAATATATATATTTTTATCTTTAATATTTATTTAATGAATATAAAGTAAATTAAATATAAGGTTGATAGAATAAAATTATTTTACAAATAAAATTATAAAATAATTATAATTATAAGAATTTATACATTGTTTTTAAATATTTTTGTTAATATTATATTAAGATTAGGTTAAAGTTAAGACTTATACATATTATATTCGTTTTTTTTTTATAAAAGATATCACTTATTCTTATAAATTAATATATGAGAGATATTTAAAACTAATATGTAAATACTTATTAAATGATAAGTTAGGTTTTCTAAAATATATATACACAGAGAAAATGATAAATCTAAAATTTTTAAGGATTCTCAAGAATTTTGTTAGAAAAATATAGAATTGTTTAAAATTTATATAAAAATTATTTAAAGATTAGATTTTTTTTATAATTTTGAATAATTATTTTAAGGCTACGTTGTCACAATCCACACGAACTATTAATGAGAAATCTTTTAAACTCTCTTAGAAAAAAGAAATACATTTGAATATTAATTTTTTTATTTTGTGTTTATGTGTTGATGTAATGTCATTGTAATGATATTTAATGTTCAATAAATAAAAGACATAACTTTATATTTATAAGAAAACCTAAAGAATCCTATAAATGATAAAATATCAAATTTACCACAAAAATAATATGACATATATAATTATAGGCTAATTTTAAAAATTTATTCAATCAAGTCCTTAATTGATTGTTTTTAGGCCTAGAATTATAATTCTCTATATTAATTACATTCTAACTCTTAATTTCTAAAACTTATGTACAATCTAGTCACACTTAATTAATCATTCTATTTTAATTTCTAATCAATAATTCTTGTGTACGTGACCTACTAAGTTCTCTAATAAGTTGATCTAAATATAAATTGTAATCCTAAATAAAATAGAATAAATTAAATTAATTTATCAACAATTAATTAATTTATATTTGAAGATTAAATACAATATTTAGTAACCTATCGTAATCCTTTAAATATTAAAAAAATTATAAATGGTTTGACTTAACTTTTGAGTGATTGATTTCTTAGTATAATTATTATCCCTTCATTAAAAATGTCATGATTTAGACATTATAACATGAAGTATGTTTGATTTGTTAAATATTTTAGTTCTTAACGTTATAGTCATTGATTCTTTTAATAAGATTTGAAAATCTTTTTAAATCTAATTTTATTTTAGCCAAAGATTTCATAATCAATACTATTTGAAAACAAATCGAATATTTTTTCTAATTCACCAAGAGTGATAAATCTTTCCTTGATTAGTCAAACATCTTCATGTAAGTTATACTATACCTAATATTTATATGTTGTTACTCTTGATTAGAACAACATGTTGTTAATATTATAGCATAAATTTAAATTTTTTTGAGTTCAAAGGATCCCATTAGAAAAATCTAGAATTATTTAGGGTTTATATAAATATTACCTAAAAATTAGATGTTCTTTATAATTTTGAATAATTGTTTCAAGATTGAGTTGTTGTAAATCACAAGCTGCCAATTCAGTGTTAGGATTAGGGCATAACACTCTTTATAAGATAACTTAATAATCTCAAGTTTAATTAGAGCATAACACTCTTTATAAGATAACTTAGTAATCTCAAGTTTAATAATCATTTACGCAACTATCATGTAAGTATTTCCATGGACATAAATGATTTTTACATATAAAATTCTTTTATGAGCCAATTTAGTGTCCGTGTCATTTGATAAATACCTATATAGTAGTTTCAAGCATTTTTTATACCTTAGTATATGAGAACAACTGCTTGGTTTAATAAAAAAAAAAACATAACATGTACCGATCTAAATAGCTCTAATTAATACCTAGTTTTAATAGAACATTGATAAAAAAACATTTAGGAATAATATTTTGATGCAATATAAATCTTATAATTATAACAATTTTATAATTTTTCTTGTAAAATATTTTTATTCCATGGAATTTATCTTTACTTAAGATTATTTAATCAAATATAATAAAAAACCAAAAATAAATAAAATCTTTATTAATAATAAATATATTTTATATTAATAAAATCAATTCCATGTGTAATCAATTAATTAGCTACAAATCATTGCATTCATTTCCTTTCATCTCCAGAAGCTAATCTCTGGTTCATTTTGGGTTGAATGATGCTTGGAATAATACTTCAAGAGAAATATCCTTGAAATGCTCTAGCTGCCACGAGTCCAGAGGCCAACGCAGCCCCGAATAAGGCATGCAATCTCACACAGAAGTACTTTGCCATGAAAATCTTCCCTTTGTCCTGTAATATTCATCCCATTAGAATGATATGAGCATTATGTGGCATCAGGAGTTCAGGACCAGAGGAGGGAGACTGGAACTGTCGAGGCTTAAACTATCGTGTTAGTTTAGATCTCACCTTGTAGTTTTCTTCGACAAAGCCGACCACCAGTTTTCCCACAGGTAAGGTCAGAGAACAGAGAAGCTGGAATACCCACAATTCAGTCAATATACCTATAAGAGTTCGATGGTGAAAAGCACATGTTTTGAACAATTAGTTATTGCCTTACAATGCAAGCTAAAGGAAGAGTTCTGCTTAGACCAAAAGCAAATAAAAGAGAGTACAGCATTGCGACAGCTACTTTCACCACTCCAGAACCTCTTTCAGTGCCAAGTCTAACCTGCATAGAAGCTCAAACAAGACATTGATGCACTATATAACTTAAGAAAAACAAGTAAACGAATGAATAAGGATGAGCAAATGTACACACCAAAGGGGAAAACTTCCCAACAGCCTTATCTTCTTCCACCTGACTTGCACGGCATTTTCATGTTATTGTGAGTTTTGCAAAAAATCCACTGCTAAATGATGCTAAACTGAGAAAAATAAAAAGAAGGCTACCTGGTGAAAGTGACTACAGAAGAGTATTAATGTTGTTGTGAAGCCAACCAGGAGTGATGCAGAAAGAATTGCGCCAGTTAATGGAAGAATCCTCATCTCACTGTCAAACACACCAAGGCGTATCAGCTATGTATAGAACAAGAGCAAAAGTTATGTAAAGCTGAGTTGGTGTTGGAATTTGGAGAAATAAAGTAAACCTCGTGCTGCCAAGTATTGAGTAGAAGGCAGTAGTAGCGAAGGGGCCAAATGCTGCGAAGCACAAGGGCTCTCCTAATCCTTGGTAACTTAACCGAAATGGTGGGCACTACATCAGATACTAAGCTTCAGAAGTTCTTCCAAGATAAGAAAGGACATGTCAAAAGGAAACATGTAACTATTACGCCACCATGGAATTATATTTACAATTTTGACTTGCCAAGCACGAGTGCTGGATCTAGGAGGCAGCTCAAAGCCTCAAATGCAGAACTTGCTATAAAATTTTGTAACAGACAGGAGATTCAATTCTTCAAAAATGATTTAAACATTCCACAAACTAGAGAGATTTTTGTTACCTGATATACATAACCACAAAGAATTGCACAAGCCAGGAATAATATTGCAGGGACGTTTCCTTCCCCCATAGATGTCCATGCCAGGCCCACAAAGCCAAGTAGAAGTGATGAGTAAGCAGCAATAAAAGCCACTGAACGGCTTCCCAAAGCGATAGCAAAGCACAATTAGCGAGATCTTGTTTGTTTTCTATTTGAATAATCTTGTTTTTCATCAGAACATAAAAAGTCATAGTTTCTATTAACCATTTACCTGCCGACCAAATTCACAACTGATTCTTTCTTGTTCTTATCTGCTCCTGTATCGAAATCATAAACATCGTTGCTGCCCATGGAGAACACAGATGAATCTTAACAGCTTATAACATAGTATACCCTCGAGGATAGTTTTCTGCTGGTGTACATTATTTTTAGCAAACCGACAGCCAGTGAAATTACTCATTCTAGGAGATTTAGGCTCTGGTTTAAGATGCAAGAAAAATGAAGTTCTCTAATGAGAGAACACAAAAAACACGACTCATTGAAGCCCCAAAGAGGAAGCTAGCTCCTTTAGGCATCTCCAGGTCCTACAAGATCTTATCTATGCTAGTTCAGCAAATCCCTTTGCAGGAACAAAGATTAGGTACCAGCTTCTAGAGTTAATGGATGACAACTTTAGCAGCCAGAGGTAGCTAAACACAATCTAACTGTATGCTTGTAAAATACAAATAAAAAAAACTCATTAAAGTGAATCAGCAGGGTAGCACATTCGATTAAACCACAAGAAAATGGAAGTTTGAAAATCAATGCCCACATGAAACAGTAGACTGGTACAAGGTCTATTGCTAAGCTTGTTCCAACATAATTTATTTTCAAATCACCGTCCTATTTTTTTCAGAACTCACCTTAGATTGAGCCAAGTTATGATGAGAATTGAAGAAACCAAGAGCAAAAAGTAGCGTCTTGCTGAAAAGATGCCTGTTTCCAAATAAGCAGCTGCACCACCTACCTGCTCCACAAACCATGAAATATGCAAGCCAGGAAAAGATGAATGAAGTGTGATGCACATCATCAACCATTAATCCTCAAAAGCATAGTCACAGAATCAATGTTCAAAGAACCACGCATTTGTTTGCACCTAAATATAAGGAAAAACTCACAGTTAGAGGAACCAAAGCAACAGAGTAAATAGGCAATTTGACTGCCCTCCATATCAAGGTTGCTTGAGGAACATCCTCCCCACTTTCACCTTCATGTGCATTGTCAGCATAATTTGCTATACTTCCTGAAAAAGCCCGCCAACATTGAATTCCTTTCTTGAATTCTAACCGGCTTATACGAATCCCACAGACAAAATTTTGGGCAGTACAGCAGCACATTAATGATTTTTTGGAAACATTTGAAGTACGAGCTCCCGGATAAGACCTGAGAAAGTTGGTAAAAAATAACAATACCAATAAAAAAAAAAAAGAGAAGAGATTTGATGAAATAAACTATTAGTAAATGCAGAAACAATAGGCACGCATGATGTGCTCACTTTCTCTTCTGTTCTAAGGTAAAGTAGAGCAGTTTAAGGAGTAAAACCATAATCAAGAAATGCCGTGCTAAGCAATAGAAACATTAAATACAGTTTGAACTACAAGCTACCCACCAAAACACCATCATTAATAGATTTCTAAGTACATCAGGCCAAAGGACATATCATTTCCAAATATTCTTACTGCATGGAATACACCTCGCAACAGCACTGATTCTGGAGTTGCGTTTCACACCCAGAATAAGTTTCTTTAGACTCCAAACTCTCTCAGCTAGCAAAAGAAGCATCATCAATCACATGGAACTCAGTGAATGATTGATTGTATTACACAAAAATCCAGTCTACTGATGTGTATTTCAACAAAGCTCACCAATCATGCCATCTCAACATTTGTTAAACCTTTTGTTCAAACAATGTTTCAAATTTAGCAGAATCAATTGAAGTAAACTAACTTATTAAATTATACTGAGCAATTTAAGTAAGCAAATTAAGAAGAGTGAGTTGATGTTAAACAGATGAATTAAGATTAGTCTCATAGTAACAAAAAATCAAGTACAAAAATGAACTTAATAACTTGCCTTGTTGCATAACTCTGCCTCACATTATAATATTGGAGTTTCTTGAGGCTAGACCCCTGGTGGAGGCTACAAAACGCTGTTGCCATTATTGCTATCAAATGAAGTATGTCTTTCCTTAATGATTATCTACAAGTAGAAACGAAGAGAAGACAACACATTCAGTTCGTCATTTAATCATTAATCCCTTCTGCAGGTGATGATAAACCAAACTAAAAAGAAAAAAAGAGAGAAAAACCTTGATAACAGCAAACCCTCTTGCCCATGCCTCTCTCGGTCTCTGCCTGTCTGTGTAGGCTGCAAGAAGAGATAAGAGAAGCAAACTGAACTCCTATTCATCATCGTAAGAGAGTAAAACTGTAATAATAAGCTTTCTTTTAACAAGAAGGCAACTGTAGTCACTAACTAACAGACAGGAGTTAGACTTCTCTCTTCTGCAAAATCCTGTCTTGGCTAATTGAGGGACCAATAAGATCCCAACATGTAAGCATGAGGATCAGGTATCTAGTCTCACTTGTCAACATGGCCCTACCAATCTTTATATCGTGAGCCATTTGCGGGCTTAGCTGGGCTTTTACAATTCTGAAAAGGTCTGGAGTTTTTTTTTTTTTTTCCAAGGTCTGTGGCACACAATTACAACTAGTTATATGATTCATGCGATCTCAAGTGTTAATTCTTTTTTTATATATAAAATATTAAAAAATTAAAATATAAAAATATAAATTTTTTTTATAAAATTATATTTAAAAATCTTGAATTTAGCTATAAATTTAAGAATAATATTTATAATATTAATAATAATATTAAATTTACATAACTTAAGTTTAAATAGGTGTGCCTGCAACTATACTTAATAGTTTTGAAAGTAGGTCTGATGTCATAAAGATATAATAATTAAATAAATTAATTAAAAAAACAAAGAAAAAAATTAATAAAAAAAACTAATAAAAAAATATATGAATTAATTAGGTTAACTCTTTAAAGTAGGTTAATCCTTTAAATCTTGGATTCGTGTCATGAAAGTTTGATAATTAAAAAGAAAAAAAAATTGACAGCGTACCTAGAATTAATTGGGCTAACCCGTCAAACTCAGAATCCGTATCATAAAAGTTTGATAATTAAATAAAAAAAATTAAATATTAACAAACTAAATTAAACAAAAAAAATTCATTAAAAAAAAGATATTTTAATACATAATATAATATAATATAATAATAATAATAATAATAATAATAATAAGAGCTCATGCTTTTCACTTAAGCTTGATTGACATATACTCTTTGCGCCACTACAAGATCTTGTCGTAAAGATATGATAATTAAATAGATTAATTAAAAAAATAAAAAAAAAAATCAACAAAAAAAACTAATAAAAAAATATATAAATTAATTAGGTTAACTCTTTAAAGTAGGTTAATCCATTAAATCTTGGATTCGTGTAATGAAAATTTGATAATTAAAAAGAAAAAAAAAATTGATGGCGTACTAATATAATATAATAATAATATATTATAATACATAATATATTATAATACAAAAAAATTCATTAAAAAAAGATATTTTAATACATAATATAATATAATAATAATAACAATAATAATAATAATAATAATAGCTCATGCTTTTCACTGAAGCTTGATTGACATATACTCTTTGCGCCAATGCTTGGTTTGGTTGCTAGCAGAATTCTCTGAGAAACAAAGACATGCAGATGTGGCTCACTGTTTCTAATATTAGTACACCGAAAATAAAAATAAAAAAAAGTGTGGGAAAGCTACAGTAATTTCTTCGTAACTTTTAGAATATTGTTAATAAAGATATGCATAGTTTTTAAACCTGGTGGTGATTAGGTAATTGGCCATGTTTAAAATCTGAAATTTTAGTTTTAATCTGATTATAAATTATTTAGATTATTTTTTAAATTAAAATAATATTATTTAAATAAAAAATAAAAATTAATATGTTATAATCAGATTTTTAATTGAGTCTTATCAAATTAATTGAATTACTAGATTAATTTATTGGGCCAACTAGATTACTCTAATTTTTTTTTTAATTCCAATTTAAATTTAGTCTAAGAATCAATAAGATTTTGAACAGAACTACCAGATCAACCCGGGTTTCAAAGGACATGGATATGATTTGCTTGAAGGTTAAAACAGAGTAATGACATTGTGTTTGCACCTTAATAGATCTATCTTGGATATTTGTATTTCGTACCATTAGCAAATAAATAAAATAAAATAAGAGGAAGTAGACAACCATTTATTGTCAGACAATAGTACTTTACATTATATTAAATTTTAAAAAATATAAATGTTTGATATAAATATATATCTCTCAAATTAAATTCAAGTTAGATTTATGTTGAGTTTCGTTTAATAAAATTCATATTTATTATTGATTAGATAATATAATTATTTAAAAATAATTCATTTATTTAATGAAGTTATTATCTATTAAATTTATATTAAATTGTCATAATTTTATATCTTTGGCTAGTTAAATTCTTAGATAAAATTTATAAAGATTTCATACGGTTTGTCAAACAAGGAGGGGATATTCTTTAACAAATTTATAAATTAAAAGAAATTACATCATATATTTAAAATAATATCATAAATATATTTTCTCATCAACCTAAATAAAACTACTGTCCTTATTAGAATAGAAAAGTACAAGTCATTTAAATTCAAAAAAAAAAAAAGAAGGGAAAACTTTCATCCTTGAGGTGAAAGAACATTGAAATTCAACCTTCGTCATTTAGCTTAAGTTGCTTTTGGTACAAAATAAATATTGATTTAAAAGAATATTATTATTTTTAAATAATAATTATGATCAATTGTTAAAGATACAATATTTAATTAGCTTGTAAATATAACATAAATAAATAAAATTAAAAATTAAAATCCCAGCTAGTATCATGATTGGAAGCAGAAATAGTAAAAAAAGGGAAAATAGTGAAAATAAAAAAAATTAGTTTGGGAGAAAACTTTCTTCCCATGCTCAAATGTTAAATTCGCCCTCCAAATTAAACACCATTTTAACAATTACAGCCTTAGAATTAATTTTTATGAGGATAATAAAAAAAGGGATGATATATAATATTATTTGTTGATTCCTTCTCCTAAAAAAATAACAAAAACAGTAACTATGATTATTCAACATTATTGTGGTGTGTATAGCTAGCCAAAACAATGGATAAGCGATACATATAGTATAAACTACTTGCTAGATCCGTATAGTGGTGTGAAAATATATTTTTTATGGTTTTTTTTAGTATTATGTTTTGAAATTTGTTTTTTATGTTATGATTTTTCATTACAAAAAAATCTATTAATTAAAATTTTAAATTAAAATATCAATCAAAATACAAATTCTATAATAGTTTAGGAGTGAAAATATAAAAGAAAAACTACTTGAAACTTGCAAAAATATGCTGCATAACTAGATGGCTTTTAATCGTAACCTTTCTTAATGATTTTAGATATTGGTTTGACATGTTAGGTTATGAAACCCGAGTTAATCCAATATATTATCATTTCAGTATTTTTTATAGAAAAATATTATTTTAAATATTTTTTTAAGTTAAACCATATTTTTACTAGTTATTCAAGTTATTTTTAGAATTGTTAAAATAATTAGATCATGTTAAGATAACTCCTATATAATTTAATTTGAAATCCAAGTTAAGTATAAAGTTAGGTTGAAATGATTATAATTTGATCCTTTTAGTGAGGTTTAGTTACAATGTCAAAGAGTTTCCTATATTTTAGACATTTTTCTTTACATTAAAAAAACTTGATCGGACCTATAACATATTGGACCCATATTACCCATACTTTTGGTATCATTATAACTAAGGATGAGAACACATTGTTGGGTCCAATTCATTATTATTTAGACCATAACCCAAATAAACTAAAAGAAAAACATGAGAACACATTGTTGGTCCAATTCATTATTATTTAGGCCATAACCCAAATAAACTAAAAGAAAAACACCAAGACTTAAAGCTCTTTTAAGTCATATAAACAACAAGTCTTAAAAGATCAACTTTAACTTATTTTCATTGTGAGCCAACATTTATAAAAGAAAAAGGAGAGCTTTTTGTTAGAGAGAGATAGAACAAGAGTAAAGAAAAAAAATATTTTCTTCATCTTTGTGCTTTAATTAGATGATGATTTGTTATCTAATTAAGATGTGATTTTGATATATAATTCTTGACAATTAGCTCTTTAACTTAGAAAATGTTAATCATTGAGAAGCTTTCACCTTTAAGCATTTCTAAAACACCTGATTGATGAGATTTAACCATTTTTCTTTGTTATTATTGATGAAATCCATTATTGTGATGATGAATTTAGTGATTTGGTGTATATCATCTAACTAAGCTAGGAAAGGATTATGTGATCCCATTATTTGAACTAATAAAAGAGTTTGATTAAGCTATCATCCCATGATTTTTCTCTACTAGGGTTTTTCTTGTAAAAATTCGTTATGTTGTGTGCTTATTTATTTTTTACAAGTTTTTGTTGATTGGTTAACCCTATTTTAATTATACAAAAAGGGTAAATAATTAAGACTTATAGATTGTGATCTATTGGGTAAATAATTAAGACTTATAGATTGTGAATTTAGTTATGTTAGCCCTTTTTCTCAATAAAGTGGAATCAAAGGCTGGTTGTGGAGATTGATTTCCTTTTGCGACTAAAATGAAAAAAGAAGATTCAAGCATAATAAAGCTCACTCTCTCCATTTATTTCCTATGAAAGATGTTGATGGAGGATCATCTTTATCATAATAATGTGGATTTGGTGTTAAAGTGCAAATGAAAGAAGCTTATCAAAATAAAGATAGAAAATGAAGATTTTGAAAGAAAATGAGTATCTTTTAAATCCATTAACCATATTTTTCATAAACATGAGCATTACAATTTGGAAGATTTTGAAAGAAATATTTGCTAATAAATATGCACAAAACAAAGTTTTTGCGATAAAAAATATTGTGAATTTGAAGTACAATGAAGGTAAAGATGCCTTAATGCACATAAGTGACTTTTGAGAGTTAGCCAATGATATACAATCACTAATCCTATTGAGTTCATTGTCAGATAGTTGATAGATTTGGTGGAGTCACTTAGTAATTTTACTCCAAATGGAAAGCTCATTTTAAAGATAAGGAAGGAAAATATTTCCAATAAAAAAAAGGATGAAAAGGAGATACACTTATGAGTCTCATGTACTTGTTACAAAAAGTTAGGAGAGAAACCAAAATAGATTTTATCGTGGAAAGCAAGATGAGGAATCCAATGATATAAAAGAAAAATAAAAACTTAGAGGAAGATCTCAATAAAGAAATGAGATTAAGTGTTATTATTGTAATAAGCCTAAAATGAAGAAATGGGATTAAGTGTTATTATT